ACACACACACACACACACACACAACTTTTAGATTTTTGAGGTTTGAAATAAATATTTTCTAATTTATTAAACTTAATTAAAACACTACAGATTTTTAGATTGGTCCATAAACATAAATCTTCTCATTCTTTTATTATTTTGTCCAACAACCTGTTTAATCTTTGATTGATAAACTTTGACTCATACTCCTGTTTCTCTTAGTTTCCTGTGTTCATCATGAAACTGATCAGGACTGTGTTTCTGTGGGCCTCTGAGGAACAGCCTGGGTGCTCTGTGATCCTCCTGTGGAACAAACTAAAGCTGAGGGAAAGGACAGCATGAGGTTTGATGGAAATGATCCCTGAGACGTGTTTTCCAGGTGAAGCAGTGACGGAGCAGTGAAGCAGCCGACACCGGAGCACACGGGACGACTGGCTGTGAAGCCTTTCAGACAGGAAACAACAATGTAGAAAAACTGGACTTAGTTACAAACATGTTTGGTAAAAAAGTGCTTATACAAAGGAAAAATACTTTCAGTATTTATACATTTACAGATTTTTGTGCAGCTTTAGGGTCTGCTGAGTCGTGGCTAACAGACGGACCCCTCCTGGATGAGCAGGGGGTGGTCTTTATTCTGCACTGTAAACAAGGATCAGTCATTGTCTTCAGCAATATATCATCAAACTGTCTCACTCAACAAGGACACACAAGGTGTGGGACAGTTCTGGGGACAAAGTGCTCATAGACACATTTCATGTGGTCCATCAGTCTGTTCCTACCTTCCTGAGAATCAAACTCAGCCCCTCAGAAACAAGCCCCCACAGCCCCCACAGGACAAACTCAAGAGTTCAGAGCCGCGTTAAACCTTCAAAAGTCCAGGTACTCATTTAATGTTTGACCAGTTCAACATCAGGACGGAGGACATCTGTCCACTGAGACAGAGGACGTTTGTCCACTGAGACAGATGTTTGTCCACTCAGACATTCATTTAATGTTTGACAAGTTAAACCTCAGGATGGAGGACGTCTGTCCACTGAGGCTGGGATGTCTCATGTTCCTAATGACGAGGAGCAAACGTTGTGGAAACTTGATCCGATCAAAAGATTCAACAGAAACAGTTCATTTCCTGTCTTGTTGTTGGAAAATAAACATAAACAATGTCAGGGTCAGGACCAGGTGCATGCTGGGAAGACAGTGCTGTCCTCTGAGGACAAATAGGGCTCTCTGCAGCACATAGCAGGAGTTTCTTGTTGTGTGGGTGGAGTTTGTCCTAACTGTGATTGGTGGAGCTCTTAGTGTGATTTAACTGCAGTAAAACCAGTTTTTACTGTCTAAGTCACAAACTAAAGAGTTAAACTGATCGGTTCATTCCACAGGCCCCTCCTCTCTGTCAGAACRCAGCTCTGGCTGCTCTGGAGATGGACCAGAGGCACCAACGACCACTCTGGGACCATTTTCAAATTAATGCACTGTGACTGCATGCCTTTTACAACTTATCAAGCTAGATGTGTGTACCAGAAACTGTCCTTTAAGGGCAACAAACACAAGTACACACAAAATAAAAAAAAGTTTCCTGGTAGATCCTTTAATCGTTTTAAAAACGAAGTATGCAGTACCCTGTTTTATAACCCAGTCTTCATTGGTTCAGCTTTTCCTCCTCATGTTAAAGTGCTCTCTCTCCATCAATGATTGTTTCTCTGGACATGGACTGCCTTTTCCACATTTTCTGTTTGGTTTTTCTTTCTGATCACTTTATTTGTCAGCTCCTTTGTTCTGGGTTTCCTTCACCCACACCCCGTGATGATTAGAGTTACTAGTGAACCGAACATGTATATTTGGGTCTGTGTGCACGAGAGGAGATCATATAAACTCCATGTAGAAAGGCTGTGAGGGAACAGCTCAAACTGCTGCTCCTACCTGAACGGTTTCTGTTCAATCTTTATTTGAAGAAGGCTGAAGCTCGTGGCTGAAGTAGCAAAAGTTGCCACAGCTGAGAGGACCAAACAAAAAGCTGGACATTAATCATGTAGTTAAACTATCAGGTGCTGCAGGTAACTTAGTTTAATTAATAATTAAAGCCTTCTATTCCAAGGTCTGTTTGCAGATCAGAGCCACTGGAAGTAAAGAATAACAGCAGGTGGTGCTGTTTAAAGTCTCTAAAACACTAATGTCATACGTTCACATGAAAGAAAAATGTTTAACTAAAAACTATATTATTCTCTCATTTTGTAAATTAGCAGAAAAAAGTGAAATCTGCCAGAGATTTGTAAATAATCACTTTGTGAGAATAAAACCAAAAACATTTAACCCTAAACTTTGGCTTTTACAAATGTCTGACTTCCCCTAATAAACGAACATAAAGTGTTTTTTAGGAAGTAAATGACATTAATGGTGAGTTCTGGACATTTGTCCTGCACTCAGCTCCTTTTAGAAAACCCTGACATCTGAATGAGTGCCTGGACCTTTTCTTCGACAMGCTCTGATTAGACTGAATCTGCCACACACATAATGGAGAAACCTACAGGAAGTGAGAGGACATGGTGATACATTCTGGGTCTTACTTTCAGATTTTGTTGATTCTGTCACAGAAGTTTGACTTGATGTTTGGGAAATTTCAAGTTTAGAAAGAAAGCATGAAGTAAAGACCTGAAGTAGCTTGTCTGGAGCAAAGTGAGCGGCTGGTTTCTGAGCAGAGGCTGTGTCTAAGTGCCAACGTGTGCCGGAGCAGGGTCGGGGTCGGGGTGTCCGTGGTCCTGGGGGCAGAAGCAGTCCTCAGAGTGGACCAGGGACAGAGCTGTCTGCTTGTAGCTCAGCAGGGCTTGCTGCCTGTCCTCTGGGCTGTAGAGCAGGGAGTGAGGGTGCACCTGCTGGATGTGTCTCTTGATGGTGCTGACCTTCAGCGTGGCCAGGGTGGCTCCACACACCATGCAGATCAAACCGTGCCTCCTGCAGTCGTAGTCCATCAGGTAGTCCAGCCTCCAGCGCACCTGGTAGTTCCGTCTCTGGTCTTTCCCGGGGTAGTGACTCTGACGGGGGGGTGTGGCCGCGGTGCTCCTGCCTCCACTCGCGCTCTCGTCTTGCTTTGCTGCTCTGACATCAGGGGACGTGTCCTGGTTTGGGTTTCCTGTGGTACAGAGGACGACATCGTCCCCTGGGATTCGTTCTGCCAAACAAATGACAAACAGAGACTCGCTGAGATTTACCCAAACAAACACAAAAGCTCTGCACCTAGGTGTTTGTCTTCACTGAGGACAAACAGGACAAACCCACAGATTAGGACAGGGTGGGCAGTCCTGGTCCTGGAGGGCTGCAGCCCTACATGTTTGACATGTTTCCTGCTCCAACACACCTGATTCAGTCAGTGAACTACCTCTTCATGTTCTGCTGTATGGAGGACCAACACTGACATAATTAGAAATAAAAGCATAAATAGATAAATGAACCTTTAATGCATAAATACATTTAAAATGCACCAAATAAATTCAAAAAGAACTTTACCTCATGTTTTATCATTTAATTGACCTTCATATTTATTTTTTCCAGCTTAGTTTCAATAAATTATATATTTTAACAGAATTTAAATAGTACAGTTTTAAAAAAACATTTTTATATAGTTGTTGTTTTAGTAGTTTGTACATGCATTTGTGTCTCTTAAATGCCCACATTTAATTTTTTTTTTTCAAAATAAAGGCACAGGTAATCCTCCTTGCCTTTGTTTTAAACTAAACTTTAAACTTTTATCTAAACTGAGGCAGCACAAGCACACAACACATAGAAATAAAAAGACTTGTTGGGAAAAAATATAAACATAATCAAGTATGAACATTTAAAATACACAAATGCTTGTACAAGTAAAGGAAAAACAATTAACATAAATTAAAAGAAACAGTAAAATTTAAATTATGTGTTCAAATATATAAACTAATTTATTGGAACTAACCTGGAAAAATAAATATGAAAGTCAATTAAAATATAAAGCAGGAGATAAAGTTCTGTAATTGATGCATTTTAAGTGTATTTATTTAGTGTTTTCTAATTCTGTCAGTTTTCGTCCTCCCTGTTCATTGAATCAGGTGTGTTGGAGCATGAAACAAGTAAAACCTGCAGGGCTGCGGCCCTCCAGGACCAGGATCAGACTCTGACCTTTGAGCAGCTGATGCAGGAAGACAAAACTTCCACAATCATGGTTGTGTGTATGGGACCCAGGTCTGCAGAGAGTGGGACAGAAAGCTGTGCAGAGACAGGTAAAAAGACCCTCACCTGCTGGGGGGGTGCTGCCAGCAGCGGGGTCTTTGGTCCAGACAGCAGCCATGGCTTCCCGCTCCTGTTGGCTCAGGGTGGTGGTCTCAGGGTGGCACTCCTGGATGTGGCGGCGGAAACCGCTGACCTTGGTTTCATTCAAGACCTGAGAACACACCATGCAGAACGTACCCTGGTCCTGAGGGCCGTAGGCCACCAGGTAGTCCAGGCGGAGCCGCCAGGGGTCCCCCCCACGCAGACGCCTCCTCCGGTGCTGGCGGTCGGGCTGGGACCCCCTCTGAGGAGCGTCCACGCCTCCGTCCTCCCCGATCAGACAAAGATCCTGAGTTAAAGTGGCGTGGCCGTGCGGGGACACGTCAGCGGGCAGCGTGCTCCTCTCGTCCTCAGCAGGCTGCTCCGACTCGTCCTCTTTGGTGCTGGACTCTGGGTTGACTGGGTTTTCTGACTCATCTGTCCCAGGACACAGACTGAACTCAGTTCTCTGTAGTGTCACCGTGCTCATCAGGGTTTGCTTATAGGATCAATGTTGTGCCAGCAGGAATTGAATTTGAATTGTTCAGATTGAATCTGAATGTGCATAATTTGAAATTGAATGAACTGGTTTGAAATTGAATTTTACTAAATTGAAACTGAATTTAAAGATTAGAATTTGAATTAATTTGCTTTGAAACTGTATTTTGGTTTATTAAAAATTCAGTTTGACTACTTTCACTTTCAGTTCCAAAATTGAAATTTTTGTGTCACACATCCTGGTCCTTGAGAAAGCCAGCCAGAGCAATCAAACACAGATCCACAGATTTATGTTTCACTTTGGTGAAGTTTTCCTGTAACAGAGTTGATGCAATCCACCGTAAAAGTGACAAAAACAGTTATTTTATTGCAGTGATTAATTTTACCTACAGAAAATTTTACATTTACATCACATCATGGATCACATATTGATCAGATGCTGCTGCTGACTGATCCATGATGTGATGTAAATATAACATTTTCTATAGGTAAAATTAATCATTGCAATAAAATAACTGTTTTTGTCACTTTTACGGTGGATTGCATCAACTCTATTACAGGAAAACTTCACCAAAGTGAAACATAAATCTGTGGATCTGTGTTTGATTGCTCTGGCTGGCTTTCTCAAGGACCAGGATGTGTGACACAAAAATTTCAATTTTGGAACTGAAAGTGAAAGTAGTCAAACTGAATTTTTAATAAACCAAAATACAGTTTCAAAACAAATTAATTCAGATACAAAACTTTAATTTCAGTTTCAAACCATTAAATTCAGATTCAATTTAGTGAAATTTATTTTCAAACCAATGCATTCAATTTCAAATTATCCATATTCAGATTCAATCAGAGCAATTCAAATTCAATTCCTGCTGGCACAAGATTTATCCCATATTTGCTTCTCTGTCTGTTTCACAAGCTTTCAAGGCCTTTATTTATTGAGGATATTAGAAACTAATGAAACTTATGAAGCTTTTAGGTTTAGGAAACTGAACAACTTTTCCTAAAACTCTGTTTTCCATTAAGAGTCTAATGTTTGCGGCTCTTCTTGCCTGTATTTCAGAGCTGCTTGTTGTTGGTTCTGTGTGGTGTTCTCACCGTGAGCCTGGGCCCAGGCCTGCAGGATGCAGTGCTTCTCCTCCGAGCTGTACACCAGGGAGTTGGGGTGCGAGTTCAACACGTGGTTCTTGATGTGGTCCAAGTGCAGCGAGGGCAGTTCTGTCCCACACACCATGCAGAGCAGTCGGCCGGCCTCCGCCTCATACTCCATCAAGAACTCCTGGCGGAACCAGGCGTGCAGCGAGTCGTTCAGGTAGCGCTCCAAYGTCTGCGCCGACGGCCCGGGGGGCTCCGGCTCCTCCTCTCTGGGCTGAAGCCCCTCCACGGAGCGAGGAGACAGAGTGGGAGGCTGCTGCTCCACAGGCAGAACAGGATCTGGACATTCTGCTTCTACAGGACCAGAGAGGATTTAGTTTTAATGATTAAGGACAAACAAATCCTTTTTAACAAACATTTTCATTATTTAGCTCACTTTCCAAGTGTCAAATCCCAGTTTCAATTCAGCTAAAAACATTAATTACATTTAACTCTGAGAAAAACTGTGTCAAATGTAAGAAAAGTGACACTGTTGAACTTTAAACACCTGAGCTGATCCAACTATTTGACATAAAAAGTTTTTGTAGTGGTTTTGACTTCATGACAGATCAAAGATAACCATTCATTCCTTCATACATTCATTCATTCATTCATACAGGAGCTGCTTTCTCAATAAAATACATCATATTGTTTCCGTACTATTTTTTTTCAGTGATTTTGGTCAACTGTAGCACAGAAACTGCTGCCCTGATCAACATGAAGTTTGTCAGGACTGTAGATGGGTCTGACCTACACTGCTCCAGCCAAAAGTTTTATGATGGACCCCATATTTCAGGAGGGGGCTCCATCTAAAGAGGGGGTGCCTGAACATACAAAATCTGTTCAACATAGGAGCTTCAGATTTTTTTTTGTTTAGCTCTGATGAAGGGCTGTCCATCAGGCCCACCATAGAGACCGCCACCCCTGGACCCCCACCCAAAACAATAAACCTGTTCTGGAGAGTTCTGGTGCTTTACGTATGTGCGGGGGTCATATAGGTACAGCTATGCAGTATGTAGTTAGTTAAATGACTGATGAGAGAAATAGTTTTAGTTTTATTCCTCTCAGTCACAGGTTTTCATCCATGTTCTTAGTATTAAGATAAGATAAGATAAAACTTTATTGATCCCACAGTGGGGAAATTTGCACATTACAGCAGCTCAAAACAGGACAGGGTGAGATAGAATAAAGAAAGATAAGTAAAAGAAAAACAAAATAAACACTATACTTGTGACATATAACAATGTACAAAYACCTAGTACAGTTCATAAATGAATGTATATGAATGTGCATATTAGAGATGGCAGTGTAGGTGAATTGTCCAAGTGACTGATAACATCATGATGTGTTATACAGTCTAACTGCAGTTGGAATGAATGACCTACAGAAGCGCTCGGTTCTGCAGCGAGGATGTTTAAGTCTCTGACTGAAGGAGCTGCTCAGCCCCCCCCCCCCGGTTTCATGCAGAGGGTGGTGGGGGTTATCCATGATGGCTGTCAGCTTTGCTAACATCCTCCTCTCACCCACCACTACCACAGGCTCCAGAGGACATCCCAGCACAGAGCATGACCTCCGTACCAGTTTGTCCATCCTGTTCCTGTCCCTTTCGGTACATCCAGCCCCCTGTTTGGGGGTCCCCCCCAGCCCCCAAGACTGTTTATTCAGTCTTATTGTCTTTAAACTGACTGACTTGGGTCAAATGTTTGGGGTTTCCACAGTTTGCAGGATTTTTGTCCTGTTCCTCCTGACAGAACTGGTCTAAATGAGTCTGGTTTGTAGGCGGCTCCAGTTTCTCCAGCAGTAAAACACCCCACATCATGATGCTGCCACCTCTGTTCCTCACAGTTAGGATGACGTTCTCAGGCTGGCAAAGTTTCCCTGTTTTAGATCCACGTCCACCACCTGTCCTGGATGGTGCTGGTGATCCACCTTTACCATTGTAACGATGTGGATTTGACGATTATATGCTTATGGTAGAGCAGCAGTGAAACATCCTACACTGCTCAGGATCACAGGGTTTGTGTGCTACATACTACCGGAACAACTGACAACATGTGGTTAATATGAAGACACACATTCAGACTGAGCAAGGTAAGTGTCTCCAAGCTCAGAGCTTTAGCTGCACCACGTGGCTTTGCACTGATGGAAACACAAAACCATGCAGATGTGTTAAAGAGTTCATCCACAAGGTTTAAATAAACAATACAGTACAGACATTAAAAACTGAGAAGTCTGCCACCCAACACACATGAAGAGTTCTTAGTTGAGTTCAACAGATGTGACTGAACCACCTGAACCATAGGGYCCTCTAGTGGTGGAAAAACATAAAGGAGCTTTCACACTGATTTATTCTGTCCCACAGCCCAGTGAGACTACAGTAAACACCTGCCTTCTGAAAAACAGGGTGAGCTGTTATTTTCTATGTGTAGTGTTCAGGGCCGGTGCTCCGCCCATGCACACCATGCACTGCACATAGGGCATCAATAGCCTATATGCCACAGACATCCAGTCCAGCACTTGATAACACTCCCAACACTTCCAGTTCACAGTCAATACAGTGTTAGTGAAAGATTTTTTCACCAACAACGACTCTTAATGATCTCCACAGTACAGAATTAGCAAATTACATGTACCAACATTAACACAGGAGACGTACAGGTCCAGCCAAGTGGGAAAAAA